GGGTAATAGTCAGTTTTATTAGATGTTAGATTAAATAAATGTTATAGAATAAAATAGTGAATGATTGAGAGAATTAGACAGTTACCGAAAAAGTTCGATAACTCACCCGCTGTAAACCATAACTGGATATCAAACATGATGTATGGTTGTTTTGAAATGCAAATTATAATTTAAAAAGGTATCTAGGTACCAGAAATTCGATACTACGTGTCGAATCAAGTACAAAAGATAATAATAATCGAGATACAAAATTGCAAGTGTGTGTGAAATAATACAATATATCATTAGTAAAAATGTAAATAATTGTCATGTAGATATGATCTAACCGTGTTAAAATTTTGTGCTATTATATCAAATCTTGTTTAAAATGTTAATATAAGTATGATGCAAAAGTTCAATAAATTTAAACTATTTTCCTCTTGAATTTTAATATTTCAGAAATTATCTTTTTCCTAAATTGTAAAAATTTTCGTGTTATTCCACTCAAACTCATGATTATAAATTATAATTTGTGTTCTGTCAGTAATGACAGACTGCCTGTTTTTCTGTTGATATTGTTGCGATTTTCAAGCTGAAGATCTATCTTTGTTTTGAATTTCCTATCCATCTGTTCTATGCATAAAAAGCATTGCAATTTTTGCAAAACATCTTATATACTATCTTTTTTTTTTTTTAAATCATGAGGGAATATTTTTTTGCACTTTAATTTAGTTAACGTATACATTTATCCCTATTATATTTTTATTTAAATGTATTTCTTTGTAATACTTACTTTATATGTATAATATAATCTAAAATTATTCAAATTTGACTTCACTGAATGATTTTCAAATGTTTAATTCTAAATGAAATAAAATGTTAATGAAAATAATGTAATTTTGTAAAGTATGAGGGCATCCTCAAACCATATCGTATATAAAAATACAAAGGAAATCTATAATAAGAAAATCTATAATATATGTAACGTATGTTATAATATTTTCGTGCATTTTCGTATGTAATATTTTTCGAAAATATGGCCCCAGTAATTGATTTTAAGGTTTTATTTTTATTGCATGGAAATTGCATGAAAAGTTCATTATTACCATTTTCAATCATTTTTATTGTAATACAATAAAAAATATGTCGCCTGACGAAGAATCCGCCCAGATTTCACATGATGTCGTAAAACTACTTTAAATCTCTTAGGCGATTTGAAATAATTTTACAATAAAACGATGAGTAAGGATGTCCTCTTTTCAGATAAAATATAAAATATGTATAGAGACTTAAGATTTTTAAAAATATAATTACGTTTATATACAAGAGATTACAGATGTATTAAGTCGCGCATTTGGAATATACATATTTCTGAAATATTGGATAAATCAAATATTAAATATTCTTTATCTATATGTATATCTATAAAAGAAGATTGCCATTTGCATGGTTCTCAATCATTATTTGCGATCAGTATTAGAATGGAACTGGCTTTACTAATCATATTATGTCTCGCTTCTATATAGAAAGGTTAAAGCCATGAGGTCATTATATTCTTCACGCAAGACACATTTAGCATCGCAAACGTGATATTCGCGCGCATAAATAAAACTCGGTATTGGACAGTCGCCACATTTAGCGCTAAATATGTGACGAGAATACCAGGCTTTGTCGATGTAGTTTCCCGGTTTCGCGAATTATACGCGCACACGCGATACACATACAAACACACAGAGGCAACATTCACATTTCATTTCATTACATTTTAATACATACCACCCTCCGTGTGGAGCTGAGCGCGCGAGCCACGCGGTATTCGATCCGTGGAATCGCGAAAACATCTCCCGTGTGACGTCGTCGGAAGTCAATGGGTGTCCAACTCTCGCAACTCGGCGTATTTAATGGGGACTCGGAAACGACCGGAGCTCACGGCCGAAGCGGTAAACTATCCTAAAGGTTTCCGTGGTAGCACTTAACCACCCGCTGACCCGCATTTCTCTTTCTTTTCTGCTGCAACAATAGGATAAGCGACTACGGTTCACTCCGATCGCAAACTCGATACACCCCGACTTCCCCTCGATTCTCGACAAGAGAAGAGAACGTCGAGAAATCCGTTTTTCTCCTGAATTCCTAGAAATGTGATTTTCATATCGGTGACATCGGCTTTAATGAAGTCTACCGAATCTCAATAACTAGTTACAGTAAAGTGGAATTAATGTCAGATAACGTCTATAAAATTCTGAAATCACGTCGAGATAGGCAATTTTACAGAATTATTTAATAATTAATTTGAAAACTTTTTTGTTTATTTATCAGTTATTTCATTTTCTCGAATGTATTATAACAAAGATATATAATATTTCTAAGATGACGGAGAGAAATTGTACATATATATGACAAATGGCTTGCGCATAGAATTATACTTTCTCAGAAACGTCAGAAATATATGCGTCATATCGTACGTTTTATCGTTTTAATCGTCGCAACAGTCCGATACAGAATAGCCGAACGCCCACGAATTTATTCTCGGATTGACGTCCCTTCTGCATTTTGTCGATACCTTTTATTGGAGAGAGAAAAGAGGCAGATCGGCTTATATGAAAAAAGTATTGGCCAATCGTTTCCTACATTCTCCACAATAGCTTTTATAATTGCACATTAATAGGACTTAATAATATGCATCGCAACTAGATAGACGAAGAAAATAGCCCAACGATGTCAATACAGTGGAATAATTAGTGTCACTTAATTACTCTGAGATTCTTATTTTGGTCAGCGCTATATATACAGATTGTAGAAAATAAGTTTAAGTCGATGACCTCTCTCTCGTAACTAATTGTAAGATAATGCAAAATACGCGTTGAAATTTGCGTATGCAATTGGTGATGCAGAAAATTGAGAGCGTAGTCTGGTACAGAACACAGAGAAGAAAAAGTACTTCCAATTAGATGGCGATTTTAATGTTTGATATCATTAGTAAGTTATCTATATACATGATATATCGTACAAAAGCTTACTGCAACGTTGCAAATGTTGCTGCAATATTGCTGAAATGTGCTTATAGATAGAAAAATTTATAAATCTTACAGCTATATTTATGAATCTTACAGCCCTGATCAAAAGTTTGGAAACACTTCAATTTTTTTACGAAAAATTAAATATTTAAAAAAAAGTCGTAAAGAAGTTCCGACTATACATTTGAAAGCGCAAAGATAGGGGGCTTTACGCAGTAAATCTGTGAATTTTATTACATTTTGTTCTTAAATTACATAAAATTGAAAATTGATATTTTTTGCAATAGTTTTGTCTTACTTTAAAGTATTGCAATTTTATGGAACATTATTGGATAAAATTTAATATAATGTATTTTAAAGCTTAGAATTTCTAATATTTTTTGAAAAAATTTGCTGTAATGATTTTTCGCAAAGATATTGAATTTTTTTTGTATAAAATTATATTGTGTAAAAACTTTTTCTAAAATGTTTTTTAACTTTAAAGCTTACGGAAAAGATAAAAGAGGAAAAATGTTTATCATAATAGTAATATTTTAATTAATTTGGTATATTAACTACTTTTATAGGCGAACACAAAAAGAAACAAGGAAGAATGCTTATCCTCCTCCCATTTTGGTAAGAAGAAACAATTATTCAGCAAACATAGATAACTATTATACATATATGTAAAGATATATTATTTTAATCTATGTTATATTAATGATTTGCCAAGTACATTATTAAACATTCTTACGATAAAAAATTGAACGCTCACTGCTCAATATATAGCTCACGTTATTTATAAAGAAGTTCATTGAAGATCCTCGAAGGCTAACTTTAAAAAATATTTATATATTTTAATAAGTTTTAATTAATATGTCCGATGAATACACCTAATATTTGAATAAATGAATAAAAAATAAATGAAAATACTCATTCGAATACATTTCTTTTTTATTCGTTAAGAAACGAATAAATATATTATAGAAAAAAAAAAATATTTATAGAAAAGAATAAATATTTTTTCATTCCATTTGAATAAATATTTTTTAAATATAATTACGAATATTTTCATTTCGTATTCATTTTTACTCTGTATTATCTGCACATAGCTTGCAAGCCTACAAGAGAAAACAGAAATCTATAAAAACAATGGCTACGATTACACCGTGCGCTTAGTCCGCGACTTATACGATAGATGTCCTTGTTTAACCTATAGATTAAGCAGCATTTTTATTGAGAATAAATAATATATCTCGGAATTTAATGTCCACAGACCATAATAAACGTCGCGCCCAAAATATCTTATGAAATATTTATAACATTACTGTCATATAACCGGAATTATATCGAAATATGTATGGCTCTATCAAATATAGATTTATAAATAAAAAATGTATATCTTTCTAAAATATTTTTCAAAATTTCTAAGTTTCCTTTATAAAATCTGAATATTACAACGACAAAAATAAATAAAATTCATTTTTTGTACTTAAAGTCATCAAAATACCGTTTATAGTTAAGAGGTAACGATTGCTTATTGGAATTTGTTTTTCAGTTTATATTTTGTTTGAATGAATATGAATATTCGTCAAATATTCATAATTTTTTTGTGAATAAATATTTTTTGAAAACTCAAAATTTTGAATGAATATATGATTACATTGTTTTGTGAAAATTTTGAATAAATACAATTTGGAGCTCAATTACAAACTTTTGTATTCATCGGACATATTAGTTTTAATATTAAGTTTGTGTGAAGATAAATTTTTGCTCCCCCCTCCCCCTCTCTCGATTGAAATCCTGGCTACACCCATGGTTATTTTATACATTAAATATTTTATGTTCAAATTATAACTTGTTTCATTGTCTTTCGACTATGTAAAGGAATTTTTTTATAGACGATCTCTAATAAGTAAAAAAAAGGGACAATTTTATCATAATACTTTCACATGTGTCTTCAACAAATTATTGAACATTTACGAAAAAAGTATTTATACAAATACACATATTGTCTATTTCAAAGAATCATCTATTCTGTTGAGAAATAATGGATGTTTCTACAATTCCTGGCTCACTTTGAGCGCATTTTGCATGAAATTCTTTAAAATCCCTTTTAACATCGGTCGCATCATTAAGTACACAGTCATCTGCACTCTCAGAATTCACCTGCGAGAGCATCTCCGCAGTATGGTCAGCAGGAGATAACTTAGAGATCAAAGCGATTTTTTCTGCTTTATTTAAAACAAATCTAAAGATGTAAACAATTATACTTTGTATTAACAATGTTAGATAAATTTGATTTAATATTGAAAATATAGCTACAGTGAAAATTCGGTATGGTTTCTTTTTTCCACGTACAACATACCTTGTATTGCTTTGCGTTGCTAATTTCTCAATGATTTTAGTGTCTACATTAATCTTTTTCGGCCTTTGCATATGACTTTTCAATTTGTCTATATTTTGCGTAAGTTGATGGACCTGCACTTTCAATGTTGCATTTTCATATATTAATCTGTTATTCCTTTGTACAACCTAACGATTTATATGATATGTACAGTTTAATTTAAGAGATTTGGACGACAAAAAAAAAACAGGAAAAACAAACATATATATTATCATTTACTTGTAAGAATTTAGCTTTATTAAGAGGCAACGGTTCTTGAAATTTCTCTGACACAATTAAATTAAGTTCCTTTCTCGCTTCGTCTAATTTCTCCATCATTTCCGCCATTACTAGCAAATGCTCATGCAGCAACTGATCCAATTTATATCTTAATGTGTCTTTAGCATGTTTCATACGAAGGAACTTCACACATAGATTATAAGTAACTTTGTTTTTATCTAACAATTCTGATTTCAACTGCTTATTTTCTTGTTCTAAGGAATCTTGCACTTCTTCGAACTCCTTACGCCATTGTTGCTGAAACTTCGACACATTGCCTGTATATCTGCCTCTGTATCGTTGCATTTCTTCAAGGAAATAATCTTTTTCTCTTTGATAGACAATTCTCTCGCCATCTAACTGTTCTACAATAAAAATAATTAATATACCGGATGTTCCTGGATTATAAACCGCCAAACTTAAAATATGAATTTAGAACTTCAAAAACAAAGTTTTTCTCTGAAAGCAAACGCTTTGTTTTTTTTAAAGATATTGACTTACATAATTATAGGAACTTCTACAGGAAAATTTTGTTTGTTTTGACCCAAGCAGAACTACAAGTCACGATAACATCAAAATGATATTAAAATGAAACGGAAATGATTGAAAAATGACTTTTAATGATCATTTTAAAATCATTTTAATATTATTTTGATATCATAATGACTTGTTGTTCTACTTGGGAAGGTCCTAAATTCATATTTTAAATTTGGTGATTCAATCTGGGAAACACTATAGGTGCGTTCGAGGAATCACTATTTGTATCATTTTATCCTTGTTTATGTCTAATATAAAAGATGAAGATAGAATGACACAAATAGCGCTAATAGTGTCTCCCCGAATATACCTCGTGTATTCAAGAATTACGCCTAGATAATTTTGGTGTGCACTTTAGCGTAATATAAGGCCTGTTCTTTTTCGCTGAACTTTTGTACCAGTTCATCTTTTTTCTTCTTCTTTCTTTCTAGAGGGAAAAGGAAGAAAGATGAACTGGTGTTTACAACATAAACTAGAACCTAGAGTTATATCTGAATGCAATTCCTGAATGTACCCCTGTGTACTGTTTCATTCATATTTGTTGAATTAGTTCACACACACACACAAACCTAAAACTGTAAAGCTGTGTTGATAAAATTCTAATTTTATGGAATAAATTTAGATAGATGTAAAACAGTATATAGTATGTAAAATATTCCATTTATATTATAATTCAATCAGAAATTACAGTCATACCTTCAGATTTAATATATGTATACGGTCTGAAAAAATCATAACACGTAATGATTAAATCTTACGTTTCAGATTCCTGTTGCATCTTTGTTGTTTCTTTAGTTCTGCTAGTAACCTACTTTTTTCTCGATGTGAATTTTCTAATTGTACATCTTTTATTCGTATAGCATCTTTTAAATTTGCTATAACTTCATTCAATTTCGCTATCTATTAAATATAATTATAAATCAGTTATTGATTTCAAAATTATAAATAATAATAATTTATAAGAATTCAAATAATTAAATTGTAAAAAGGTAAAGGAGCCACGCTTATTGTTCGTGCTGTACAATATTTTATATGTTTATAGACTAATAATTAAACAAACATACATATAGATGTTTCGACCTTTTCACATTAGGTCCTCTTCAGTGTAATAAAAATTAATGCAACTATTTTACATTTCAAACTCTTTGCAAGATCGAGATCATATCAAGAAGAATTGTTGCATTTATTTTTATTACACTGAAGAGGACCTGATGTGAAAAGGTCAAAACATCTGTATGTATGTTTGCTTAATTGTTAGTCTACTATAAACATAAATATTACACAGCAATACAAGTGTGACTCCTTTTTACAATTTGATTATTCGAATTTTATTCATTGGAGCCTATTACATTGTGTTTAATTTTAAACTTAATTTGTAAGAAATTTAATAATAAATATTTAAAATACAAAATAATTTTCTAGCCAATTATTCATTTGTACAGGTCATCTCATATTATACACAGAAATTTGATATTCTCTTACAATTCATAATAATTAGTAATAAAGTGAAATATAATATACCTGTGGTGAGGTTACTATTTCATAATCAACTATGTCGGATTCCACATTACTATAAGAAACTTTGTTTTCTACATTAGTAGAACATTTACTTAAGTTAACATTCTGCATATTACAATATCCAACTTCAAAAGCCAATCTCTCTCCGTAATTTCTTTAGATATATATCAATAATTTTCTATTTATATTATTTCATTGGTTATATCATATCGTATATTTCGTATTTAACTTTAATAATTAAGTTTCAGAGTTACAACATTCGAATTTTTGGAATTGCCTCTATATGTACATATGAAAAACCTGTATTTAAAAACTTCTTAGTGTGTCTAAAGAATTATGATGTCCTTTCTTTATGCGCAAGACAAAATAAAAGGGAACTTGACATGTTATATATTATACATAAATAACCTATATACAAAAGTTACTTGTCAAATACATAATCATTGAATAAAGACGGTTTTTTTATTCGATTGATTAATCGCATTATGCGCAATTGTAATTGCTGCATTCACGCATAATGCGATTGATCGATAGATTATAAAACTCGCTTTAAATAAAAAAACGTTAAAGTATCAAATATAATTACAAATATTGTATATTTATGGATTTGAAATGTACTTATTTCAAACAATAAAACAGACATTTGTTTTCCACTTTACAAATAAACAAAATCGTTCTTAATTAATGAAAAATACACAAAATAGATTAAAAATTATTCTTTGTTACGGTATGGCAGGTCACTCTCAAATAAATATTTACTCAAGCAATACGGATTTTAAAAGTTGTGAAATTTTTTATTGTATATCGTATATGTACAAAATAGGTGTACAGACTACGTATCAATCGCACGTACGTTTTTTATACATGCCATCACATATGCTTCAATAGCACATGATACTGATGTAAGAGCATTTATATACCCAGTACACCTGTAACTCCCATTTCTATTATCTTTCATCAAATGGAATGAATGTTGAGATGACGTGTATATTTTCTTTTTTTAATATTGATATCTTTAGAGACGTAAGTAAAATTTTTGAGTAACTAATAATCCTCTCCCCATCTTGTACACACGAAAATAATAAATTATATTGAAGTTTTAGCTTCGCAATTCTTTACATGAGAATTATTTCCAAAAATCGTGTTTAAACAGATAGAATATATTTTCGCATCTCTTGAAAGAATTGCATCGATATGAACACGATATCGGAAAAAACAAAAAATACAAAATCTCATTGTGGATCCCCATTCGTGCTTTCCATAAATTTTACAATAACAACTGGGCCAGAAATCATTTAATACACTATTTTATCATACCAAAACTATATATTTAACATGGATTTCAATAAGTCGTCTAGTAAAAAGAAAAAACATAATATTTGTTCTCAAGATATTCTCTTTCTTCAATGACAAAGTATCATCAAAAGGAAAAAATATTCAATTTTGTCTCAAATTATATACTCCAATACGATAAGAATATACATATATCATTTTTTGAAGACAGAGAAATTACATTTATAAAAATCATGCCGCAACATTTTTTTTTTATGTTAAATCCTATGTTACTAAATATACATTATCCTGTAAAAATATTTAAGAGCACGCATACAAGTATGCTATACAAATGTCTATATAATTGAGGTAATATTGTAATAAACTTCACTTTGAACAGAAGCATAAAAAAGATTAGTTAAAGCAAAATATTTTTTAAGTAAACTTTTTCATACCTAAATTAACAAAATCAAAATTATTTCAAAATTACACGTAAAATAATTTTTTGTTGGTCCAGTTGTGTTTTAAAAAGGTGGAAGGCAATCGTTTTATCGTGTGATAATCTGATGAAATGATACTAGATTCGCACAAATGCGGATGATAGTGATGGACTTATGTGTATATCTTAACTTAAGAGTTTGTTTTATTTTCATAATGTTAAGGCTCATGTTTATTTTTTCTTGTTCTTGTTAGCCTGATTTTTGTATTTAGCTGCAGCTGCTAATTTAGCATTCTTCTTCTTAGGTTCATCATCTTCATCGTCTTCATCTTCAGGATCCTACAAGAAATATAAAATATAGTCATATGCAATTTACTTATGTTAAGCAAGATAATTGATAATATACTTCCATATTTAATAATAATTAAACATAATATATTATATTACATAAGAAAATAAATGAGAATATATATTCATATATAAAATTCATTTACATCTATAAGTTTAAAGAAAATTTTAAGAAAATATATATGAAATTTTATTATGTTTTATAATCAAATTAACATTTCAAAATCACAATATGTTAGTCTAACTTTGACTTTTAAAGATACGAATTACATTTATCGATTAACAAATATTATTTGATCTTCTAGAATCCAATAAAAAATTATAATACATTACTTTACAAAAATGGAAAAAAAGGAAGCGTGATTAGTAAGAAATAAAAGCAACTCTTTGCAAAATAAGATTTATTTTACAAAAATAAAACATGAAACATGAATGAGAATACAAGGGATACATTTATGATTTTTTATAAATGGTTCACGTCCATCTTTTCCTCTCCTTAAAAATTATAATTCTTCAAAGATATTTTAAAAGATAAAGTTTGAAGTAAAATAAAAAATGTTCTTAATGCAATATTGATATTTTTAGACATACTATGGCGCAATGTCGATTTTTATCTTAATATTCTATTTGTCTATGTTTTCACGACCGTACTCATTCAACGCCGTTTTTTTTATCTCCTGATAAAAGTTTTCGTTTCTTTCGCGGTGCCTGAAATGGATATTTATTAAATATAATTTCATATATTCTACAGCAACATAGAAAGTAAAGATAAACTAAAGATACTATCATGAGGTGCAATTCTTCTATAGTAAATTATTTATATATGTATATAAACTTATAATATAAACTATGTCATAACATTTTTACGGACGTATTCTGTATTCAAAAATTTATCATATTTTTATAGAGAACCAAAAGGGATGTACTTCCGTGCGACAAACTCATAACCGATAAGTCGCGACTTCAAATCCCGCATCCCATATATACGGAAAAATTCGTAATCCGTACTAACATAGAGGAAGTCGCAGAGGAAATTTTCAGATCTATGTGACTCTTTGGTCGTATTTATATTTGATTCTTATATTTAAGATTGTCTTAAGGTCTTAAGATGTCATGAACTAATCAGAAGCCAGTATTCATAGTCAATTCTTATTGAAGACTGCCTTATTTAAGTCTTATTAAGTCTTATTTAAGAGTCATATTTAAATCTTATTTAAAATTGCTTAAGTACAGTCTTAAGATGTCATGAACCAACCAGAGTCGCATTTGCATCTTAAGATATTACTTAAGATGAGCTTGAAATAAGAACGGACTATGATTATCTCCTTTTGAATAGGTTCAAAAGGGGGCACTGATATGGTCTTGTCACCCATCTCCATACTACTACTACTACTACTACTACTACTACTACTACAACTACTACTATTATAGAGAAGCATTCTACATGCATAAATCGATATTAATAAATTAAATACAGTATTATCCTCTTTTATCCTCACTCATAAGATTTATAGCAAAAATTTACTAAATTTATTATAATAAAATTTGCTAGATATAGATAGAATATATATTTTCAATTATATATATATATAGTTGAAAATATATATATAATAATTCATACCTTCTCATCATCCTCATCATCAATATCTTCCTCCACTTCATCATCCATATCCACAAATTCTTCAATGTGGCCACCTATGATAAGAAAAAAATTTAAGTATTTCTTAATTTTTAATAAGAAAAAAAAAATAAATATTTGAATAAGTTTATAAAATGTCATGTATAAAACAGTGCTGTGTTGTAAATAAATAATGAATTAAAATAAAATAAATAAATATTTTATTATGTAGTATTTGTGCAAGTTGTGTATTTTTTAAATATTTTTCATAATATATAAAAAAGTTATTTTACAATTCTTAAAGAGTAAAATCGTGTAATGTATTAAATGAACTAAAGTATTATTTTATAATTAAACATATGTTAATATTTTTATATATACATACATATATGTATATATAGTGTATAAAATTTATTTTATATTTCAAAATGTTTATATATATAATTCAAAAAAGACTAGCATGTATCACATATACATATTCAAAAGCAAAAGCAGATAAAAAATATATATAAAACATATAATATATATATTTTTTTAACGTAGAACATAATCTATTAAAATTTTTATTAAAATTATTTTTTTTATGTTTTTTAAGAAGACATCCGATTTTAATATTTAATATTTAACAGATTGAAGGATTCTTTCTATACAAAATAAATAACAATAAAGGACAAGTTAGGACGAATAAAATGGATAAATATATTAAAGTATAAAAGAATATTTGTCCCCATACATCTAAGAGCAATGTAATTTATAAGATATCGTGTAATAATTGTGATGCGTCATACGTTGGACAGACGGGCAGACAATTGAAAACCAGAATTACAGAACATCATATTAGACATAACACTTCTGTCCGTTCTGTCATAACGGAGCACAGGTTGCAGTTTGATCATGATTTCCAATGGGACAATGTTAAAATTTTAGATGAAGAGCTTTGCTATAGGAAACGCTTAATTTTTGAGAGATGCTCAATATTAAAAAGCAGAAAAATAGTTTAAATTTACAAACTGACACTGAAGGTCTTCATAAGGCATATATATTTATTGTAAATAAGGTTTGACTTTTCGATACTGACAGTTCGTCTCTTCTCTCAGTCCGTAGTGATCTGTATCAGCAAGCGTATATAATAATCGATACACAATGTCCGTCTTACACATCTGCGTTCTACTTAATTTTATATTCTACTTAACTTTCTAATGATTTTTCATACTTATATGGATACACTTGTTTGAATAATTTACATATGATTTTTGGTGAGTTTTAATTACTTATTAGAATTCCGGTATGTTAATTTAGCTGCGTTTATTTTTTCGTAAGAAGTCTTTTTATCTTTTTTATCAACTAGAACTTTTCTAAGAAATATGAAACACATTTGACTGTTCAATCGTATGTGAATAATGTCGAGTTCTACATCAAGACTCACCCGAACTGTGATTATAGTGAATATGCGAACATTTCCAATAATTTATTTTGTACTGCAATTTTTTTCGATAAGTTAATGT